CATTTTCAGGCTCCTGCAACCTCCTGCTCACCAGCCTCAAGTGTTATCTGCCTCAGCCTCCTGAGTAGCTGGGATTACAAGCGCCACACCCCAACGCCCAGCTAATTTTTTTTCTTATTATATTTAGTAGAGACAGGGTTTTGCCATGTTGGCAGGCTGGTCTTCCGAACATCCTGACCTCAGGTGAATCCATCTGCCTCAGCTCCCAAAGTGCTGAGATTCCAGGCTAGAGCCACTGTGCCCGCAGCCTTATTTCCTGATTTTAAGTCAAATTAAAAATGTAAGTAACTGCACCAATGCACTTTACGTGTCGAAAAGAAAAAAAAAAAAAGATTGAAAGAGATTTGGAAAGGGATAATTTGTTGGGCCATTCATTGCTTTAGTGTCATTCATGGTGTCATCATATCATGCAGCCACCACATAGCACTGAATGGTGAGGAGATCTTGTTTGCCGTGGACCTAGAAAACCATCTTGTCCCTGCTTTGGAAAGTGCTGCTAGCATCTCACAAAACTTACGCTTTTTGTAGGCATTCACTCATACGGCACAATATGATGAAGCAATTTCAGATTATTTCAGGAGACAGTATAGCAAAGGCATATCTCAGATGCCCTTGCGCTATGGAATGAACCCTCATCAGACCCCTGCCCAGCTGTACACACTGAAGCCCAAGCTTCCCATCACAGGTAAAGCCTGAGCGTTCTGTGGCATGGTTTGCTGTGTCTGGAGAGTGTGTGTTTCTCTGTGTTGCATCTGATGTGGTTCACATTCAGAAGATGATACATTCCATAATGCCTTTTGTAGCCATGTGATAACCATCTGGTTGGAGATGCCGTTTGGACTGGAGAGCACAGAAGTTGAGTAGTCCGGAGTTCTGAAAAGGTGTCATGTGGAGATGGAGATTGGAATGTCTCCGCCGGGTAGATGTTTTTGAAGACAGGAGACAGGATGGGATGGCCTGGATTTTACAGAGAAGAGGGTCAAGAATGAGCTTTGGGGTAAAGGCTTGGTAGGTATACTGTGGAGGAACCAGCAGAAGAAAACTTGTGAAATTCCTGTTGCTGACTCCTGAGGAGCAAGTTTTCTAAGCCCTTTAGGTTTCCTCAGACATTACTGAAGAAATTGCAGCCTCTGGAAGAAGTCTGACTATTCTCCAAGGTCTGCTTTGTGGTGAGCCAGTCCTGGGGGTTGGTGCTGGGTATGTAAGGAGCCTGATGACCACTGGCAGGTTGGCTTCCAAGGAGCCATTTGCGGAGAGGGACAGCTGCAATACTGGATGCTGGCTTCTGCTCTGGCATTAGGATGTAGCCTCTCCTCCAGGAAGGACCCAGTATTTGATGAAGTAACATAAACCATCAAGTTCTCAGGAATTTGAATTGTTTTGGAGACCTAAATGTGTTGATGGTCTGGCACAGAGCAGTTGTGCATTTGAGAACAGAAAAGGGACTGTTTGTTTTGCAAATGTTGTAAGAAGCAGTTTCCTTGGAATGTTGGAGCTAGAAGCCCAATTGAAGTAGGCCAAAGGAGAAATGTGATGTTAAGAACTAACAATGTTAAAGAGGTTTCTTTGAACAGAGAAAGTAGGACTTCCCATGGGTTTGTAGAGTTTAGAGAGAGTTTTTAAATTTGTGGCCTGTTCTGTTCCAAAGGTAGGCTGTGAGAGCCTGTCCTGCTCTGGTACAAGGGAGAGTGGGGGCAGGGACAGAGGTGAGAGTCCCAGGCATGGAGGCCTTGGAATCCCAAGCACTGCTGGGGTAGCTGGCCTTGGCTGAGAGCAAGGGCAGCCTCCTTCCTGCCTGGGGCGGTCATCATTTGCTGGGGAGATGCAGCCTGGGCTTCCTTTCTCTGTCACCAGCTGAGAGAGCAATGGGGAGGGGAGCAGCGTGCCAGGTGGGAGGAGAATCTGAAATAGTCTTCATGTTTGCTGCGTTCTATTGTTCTGCCTCAGATAGATTTTTTTTCTTTTTTTAATTAAGATGATGGAGTCTCGCTCTATCACCCAGGCTGGAGTGCAGTGGTGCAATCTCTGGTTCAAGCGATACTCCTGCCTCAGCCTCCTGAGTAGCTGGGATTACAGGTGCGCACCACCATGCCTGGCTAGTTTTTCTATTTTTAGTACAGACGGGATTTCACCATGTTGGCCAGGTGACCATGAGGTCAGTCTCAGACTCCTGACCTCAAGTTATCTGCCCGCCTCAGCCTCCCAGAGTGCTGGGATATTACAGGTGTGAGCCACCACACCTGGCCTCAGATACATTTTGACACTAACACTTCCCAAGTCCTCACAGCACAGTAATCTCCTAAAAATGGAAATCGGATGATGTGAGACCCTACTGAAAACCATTCCTTGGCTTTTCTTAAGCACCTTGCCCTGCCCCACAAACCCTGTGCTGCCTGCCTGCCACGTATCTGCCCCCTCTGCAGCTCTCCCTGCCCTGGCTCCTAGCCCCACCGCCCTGTGCCTCCAGTGGGCCCAGCTCCTTCCACTCCAGAGCCTCTGGGGCCTTGTCCCCTTCACCCAGAATTCTTCCCTCTGCCCTTCACAATCCTGGTTTCTTGTTATTCAGTCCTCACCTCCTCAGAGAAGCTTTCCCTGACCACTCAGACCAAAGTAGCCGCCCATGATGCTTTCATCCCATCACCCTGTTTTGCTGCACGTGTTTCTGTTTATTCCGTTCAAGTTGTCGTTCCCCATTAGGATGGCAGCTTCTTTTTTTTTTGAGATGAAGTTTCACTCTTTTTGCCCAGACTGGAGCTCAGTGGTGCTGTCTTGGCTTACCGCAAACTCCGCCTCCCAGGTTCAAATGATTCTCCTGCCTTAGCCTCCCGAATAGCTGGGAATACAGGCGCCTGCCACCACAACCGGCTATTTTTGTATTTTAGTAGAGATAGGGTTTCACCATGTTGGCCGGCTGGTCCTGAGCTCCTGACCTCAGGTGATCTGCCTGCCTCGGCCTCCCAAAATTCTGGGATTACAGGCATGAGCCACAGCGCCCGGCCAGGATGTCAGGTTCTGAGAGCAGAAGCTGCATCTGTTTTTGTTTGTTGCTGAATCCCCAGGGTTTAGAAGACTGCTTGGCACATTCCCTAAATGTTTACTGAATGAACAATTAGAAACCTGACATTTTGCACAAATTTTTCCTTCTAGGACTTCTTGAAACCTATTTGTCTGCTGTTATATCTGAGTTATTTCCTGCTTATAGTTTATATTCTCCATTAAGATTCTAAGGCAAAAAAAAAAATCCCTATGTACTGTCAGTTCTTACACTTTTCATTTTCCAAAGCGTTTTCACTGGACTATATAAAAGCCTTCATTGTTCCTTAGACTGTGTGTGTGTTTCTTTTGAAGTTTAAAGTATTATTTGTGGTAAACATGGCAGAGGTGGCCCTGGACACATAAATAAGCCTTTCTTGTGTGAGATTCCCAGGATTTCTCCCCATCATGGACTTATTTCCACAACAGAAAAGGCAGTTTGCCTTTTCATATGGTTTGAGTATTTGGCAGCGATGTTATTACAAAGTGTACAGTTGTGTTTGTATCTAAAACAAAATTGAAGCAAGAACAAAGATGGGATTGTATGAGTGTGTGTATGTGTCTGAGATTTTAATGACTGGTTTGCTTATGTTTGGAAACACGAAGATTCCTATTTATTTCAGCTGTTTACTAGATTAAGCAACTTTCATCATTTCTCTGTTGCACTTTCTGTTTCAGTTATTAATGTCTTTGAAAATTTGATATTTGAAGGGGAACCAGATACTCTTTTTTATTTTGAGGCAGAGTCTTGCTCTGTTGCCCAGGCTGGAGTGCGGTGGCGTGATCTCAGCTCACCAGAAACTCTGCCTCCCAGGTTCAAGCGATTCTCCTGCCTCAGCCTCCTGAGTAGTTGGGATTACAGGCATGTACCACCACGCCTAGCTAATTTGTGTATTTTTAGTAGAGACGGAGTTTCACCATGTTGGCCAGGCCAGTCTAAAACTCCCAACCTCAGGTGATCCACCCGCCTTGGCCTCCCAAAGTGTTGGGATTACAGGCATGAGCCACCACACCCATCCAGATACTCTTAACTATGAGATGTTTCAGAAACCAAAAGTTTTCTCTCACTTACCAACCTTAGCCTAAACCATCTATGATGAGTGGGAGGGAGATGGGGTAGTCATACATATGGTGTTTTGTTTTATTATGCGTGTTGTATGCCTTAGGGGATATTTTACTTTTATTGTTTACTATTTATTGCCTAGTTTGTTTCTTCTGTGCCTCTCCCGTAAATTTCATGACAGTGATTTTATTTGACTTGATTTTTGGTTGGGGGAATTATTTTTTCAAGTTCTTTTTAAAATGGGCTTTATTTTTTTAGAGTAGTTAACAGGTTTACAGAAATTACACAGTTATTATAGGGAATTTCCATATACCCCCTCTTCCCCATAGTTTCTCCTATTGACATCTTGCATTAGTGTGGTTCATTTGTTACATTTGATGAACTGATTTTGATTTCATCATTATTAAGTAAGGTTCATAGTTTAACATTCGTTCTTTGTGTTGTACATTCTCTGTATTTGGAAAAATGCATAGTGGTATGTATCCCCCATTACAGTATCACGCACAATCGTTTCAATGCCCTAAAACTCCCTTGTGCTCCTCCTTATCCCCTCTTTCCCTTCTCCCCAACCCTTTGCAACCACGGTCATCTTTTTCTCTTTTTTTTTTTTTTTTTTACTCATAACTTGCTATGTTGTCTGAGCTGGTCTTGATCTCCTGGGACTCAAGCAATCCTCCTGCCTTGGCCTCTTAAGGTGCTGGGATTACAGGCATGCACCACCATGCCCAGCTATTTTTACTGACTCTGTACCAATTTCCAGAATGTCAAATAGTTGGGATCATACAGTATGGAGCCCTTTAGATACTTTCACTGAACAACATGCATTAAGTTTCTTCCATGTCTTTTGTGGCTTGGTAGCTTAATGCTGAGTAATATTTCATTGTGTATGAATGCACCACATTTTATCCATGGACATATTGAAGGGCATCAAAACTTCCAAAACTACTAAAAAGGACAGTTTTGGTAGTTTATGAACAAAATTGCTATAATTGTTTGTGTGCAAGTTTTCAACTTATTTTGATAAATACCTAATATTTTCTTTTACTGTAGACTATTTATTGCCTATTTTTTATTTGCCTCCCAGTAAGCTCCGTAGGGACAGTGACTTTTTTTTTAAGAGGGTTGCAAGGACGGTTTTTTCCACTGATGTATCCTGAATACCTAGAACAGTGCTTAACATCGTAGTAGGCATTCAGTAAACATTTGGCAGGGTCTTTAAAAACTGGTAAATACTTGGCAAGGTCTTTAAAAACTATCTTAACCCATGAAGGACATGAAATTATACTTTTTTTTTTTGAGACGGAGTCTTGCTCTTGTTGCCCACGCTGGAGTACAGTGGCGTGATTTCGGCTCACTACAACCTCTGCCTCCCAGGTTCAAGCGATTCTCCTGCCTCAGCCTCCCGAGTTGCTGGGATTACAGGCGCCTGTCACCAAACCCAGCTAATTTTTGTATTTTTAGTAGAGACGGGGTTTCACCGTGTTGGCCAGGCTGGTCTTGAACTCCTGACCTCGTGATCTGCCCATCTTGGCCTCCCAAAGTGCTGGGGTTATAGGCGTGAGCCATTGTACCCGGTTCATTTTGTTTTTAATTAGTGCTGGCCCTCCATTTCTTTCTGTGTACTGAACTTATGTTTATTCACAGGAGATACTAGCTCCTAAAAAAAATCTGCCAATGGTAAGACACTAGGTAATGGAAAACTCTGAAGTTGCAGTCTCCTTTTAACTACAGTTCCGCTTTAGGCAGAGTCTGCTGAGTTTGCCATCAAAGAAGGGAAAAAACCACATTATTTCTTCTCTTCTTCTTCCACCCACAGCTGTTGCTTTAGCTTGTAATATAATTTCTTAAATCTATAGGGTTTATGACTTAAATTTTGTACCGTCTCTGTAATTACCTCAATTGTTTAATCTTAGTTCTGTATTTACATGAATTCCTGACTGATCACTAGTCTTGTCATAGTTTCTCCCATCCCTAAATCTCTATTTAGGGATGGTTCTGGTCCTCCAGTCCTGTGTGTGTGTGTGTGTGTGTGTGTGTGTTCATGTTCATGTACATGTGCATTTTTTTTTTTTACAGATGGACTCAGGCTCAGTTGCTTTGTTCTTTATCATCAAGATTTTATGCTTGTGTATATCTCTTTGGCTTTTAATTATACTTAAAACATTTGTTTAGTCATGTTATTTTTTGAGAAGTGTGCATACATCTGACCTCACTGATCCTGCTTAGTAATGTGCATGTATATTTTTATATTCAGTTCTAAATGGAGCCCCTGGATTTATAAACTTGTGCGATGCTTTGAACGCCTGGCAACTGGTGAAGGAACTCAAGGAGGCGTTAGGTATTCCAGCCGCTGCCTCTTTCAAACATGTCAGTCCAGCAGGTAAAGCTCTGCGCTCTGGAACGTTCCAGAATTGTTCGAAAGGCATTTCTTCTTAAATTTTTTTGAATATTAACAAGTTCTAATGTGAATATAGACATTCTATGAAATCTGAAAGTCATCTGTTGATAACAGTATCAATGTAACAATCTAAAATCTGATAAACACACACACACACAGAAAATTGTGTAATATTGTCAGATAGGAAAATGAGGCAGGAATTTGCGGGGTGGAACCATAAAAGTTTAGAAAATAAAAGTGAAATATCCTAATGCAGTAGACTAAGTCTTTTCCCACATCTTTGAAAATGTAATGGAGTAAACATAAAGAAGAAGTTCTTAGGACTGTTTATCTGAAACTTCTTGTAGTCATTGTATGAGATACTTTGCTTCTGTGTTTAAATCATTATTTCTGCAATCGAGCTGTCTGTACACCACATCTCGCTGACAGTCCAGCACATGATTTGTTCTCAGATGTTTATTGGATGTTAAAGCGATGTGAGTGGGGAAGAAATAAATGATGTGTGATATCAAAGTGATATCAAGCAGAACAGAGAAAGAGACAGTAATGAAGTAAACCAGCTTCACCTACACGCTGGGTACTGTCAGGCTTCAGTGGCTCTGTGGTTTCAGAGGGCAGAGAGGAGATTTCCCTCACAGTGCTCCCACAACCATATTTTTAGTGTTTAATTATCTGGCTAAATAGATTTCTGTTTAGTTTAGCATAGGCACTAGGAAATATGCTGTATAGACTGGATGTTAAGAAAAATGTCTTGATTTAGGTGTTGACAGGTAGTAACTTTAGCTTTCTGGGTTTATGATTTTACTATTTTCTAACCAGGTGCTGCTGTTGGAATTCCACTCAGTGAAGATGAGGCCAAAGTCTGCATGGTCTATGATCTCTATAAAACCCTCACACCCATTTCAACAGCATATGCAAGAGCAAGAGGTCAGACTCATAGAGCTTTTTGATTTGGAGGAGAAAGAAAAAGCAATGTTTTATCCCGAATAGAATAAAAAGGATAGAATAAAGAAAAAATATATAGATATTCTATGTAATATATAGATGAAATTAAGGACTTCTATCTCTATATAAATATGTAGTTATTTTATGTAATATAGTTTGATTAAAGTAAAATACCCTTTCATTATAGGATTTCCAATGTTTTACTAATATTTAAGAGTGATTATATGAGTGTCTCAAAAGACATTTGTTTATAAAAGTATGTTAGTATTTTAATATAATAAATGGAAACACAATTGGAATTTGGTGAATGTAATTTTGCTAATTTAGGCTATCGAATGTGTTATTGTTTACTATGTGACCAAAATTGAAATTATAAAAAGCTATTTTTTTTTTTTTTTTTTGAGACCGATTCTTGCTCTGTTTCCTAGGCTGGAGTGCAGTGGCACGATCTTGGCTCACTGCAACCTCCGCCTCCTGGGTTCAAGCAATTCTCCTGCCTCAGCATCCCGAGTAGCTGGGATTACAGGTGCATGCCACCACGCCTGGCTAATTTTTTTGTATTTTTAGTAGAGACGTGATTTCACCATGTTGGCCAGGCTGGTCTCGAGCTCCTGACCTCAGGTGATTTACCTGCCTCAGCCTCCCAAAGTGCTGGGGTTACAGGCGTGATGTATGGCTCTTCTAACTTTACTAAATTTGGTTAGAGTCATGTTTTATCAGAGACATTTACTTGTTGAATTTAATAACCTGTGAATATTACTTTAATATTTGTGAAAGTTCTTGAGAAACTATTATCATAGTTTATCATCTACAGCAGCGGTCAGCAACTTCAGCTGAATCCAGCCTGCTACCTGTTTTTGTGAATATAGTATGTATATTAACTGGTCCTTCACAGAAAAAGTTTTCTGAGTGTCACTCTAGAGGGTAAAATTAAAGAACACTTTCTTACTGGTTACTTCAGTTAAATGACTTATCGATCTGTTAAAATCTTATGTAAACAGTAAAGTTAGCTTTAGAGAAATGAATTTTCTATGACAGTGGAGAATTTTATTTTTCTATGTCAGGATACTTTGTGATAAATACCTCATTTTAATTTTATTTACAGGGGCTGATAGGATGTCCTCATTTGGTGATTTTGTTGCATTGTCCGATGTTTGTGATGTACCAACTGCAAAAATTATTTCCAGAGAAGTTAGTGGATATTCATGTATCTTAATCTGTGTGTAATTGAATAACGCTTTATTTGTTCATATTGTTCACTGAAACCATACTATAATATTTATATTTATAATATCTTTAAATTAGTTAAGTTTATCATTTAATGTTCATATTTTAAATAGAACATGAATCTTAAATTGTTAATTTTGAAATGTAGTGAATTATTGTTTCAAATGGACATTTGGCTGTTACGATAATGTTTTTAACTTATATATTTATTTTAAATTCTTTTGTTGTCTTTATGCCAAAGTTATTGTTTCTGAAGAGCAGAAGTTGTAATCTTAGGTAGTGATGCGATAATGAATCTTATTGTACAATGGGAAAAAAATAGAAACTACATTAATAAACTTACTCCATCAGTTAAGTACCAAACAAGTATTCCAGACAGGTGGGGGTACTGATGGTAGTAGGAAGACAGGAAGAAAAGGAAAAAAGGTTGAATAGCTCAGAAAGGGAAAAAAATAGAAGTGAAGGCTGAAGGAGCATGTGGCTTGGCAGTATTTTGTTGCTTTAGGATTCTTTCCATGGCTACTGCCATCCCTGAGTTACAGGTTACAGGACGGCTATGGCGTTTGTACCTTTCGTCATGTTGAATCCCTGATTTAATCTGGTCTTGCTGTTAAGGAAAACGCCTGCCGGAAGAGGTCATTTAACCATGTACTAGCAGAGTCAGGACTAGAATGTGTTCTTGTTCATTCAAAACACTCCCTGAAGAAATATTTCCTCCTGAGGTACGTGCGTTAGAGCACATCACTCATATTTTGTTAGTTTAAACTGAAACGAACAAAAACTTGGAAAGGACAGAAAGTTAGAATCTGCGATACAGAAAGCCGTATTCTAACATAGATTTCTCTTTTTCAAGTATAGCATTAGCATTGTCTGTTGGAGGCAGAAACAAGAATATGCTGCCACATTATTTAAGACTGATAATTGCTGCTGGATTTTTTTAAGAGGTGTTCTCTGATTTTTAAAAATAGAAATTAAAATTTAATATTTTTGCAGGTATCTGATGGTATAATTGCCCCAGGATATGAAGAAGAAGCTTTGACAATACTTTCCAAAAAGAAAAATGGAAATTACTGTGTCCTTCAGGTGAGTGCAATTCATGTTTGAAGCAATAATTTGCACTTTTATTCTGTGTCTCTTCCCCCCTTGTTTAATCTTTCCTTTATACGCATACCCTTCTAGTTTATCCTTATCATCCTTTTCCCCTAATCCTGCATTAAAAAAAAATACTATTAACTTGAGGATTTGAGATGAGGGTAGCTTTCTTACCCTCAATTTTAACTTTTTGCTCGTTGAAATGGCTCATGCCTGTAGTTTCAGCCACTTGAGAGGCTGATGTGGGAGGATGGCTTGAGGCCAGGAATTGGAGGCTGTATTGTGGTACCGTGATGCCTGTGAATAACGACTGCACTCCAGCCTTGGTAGTGTAGTAAGACCATGTCTCTAACATATAATAATAACAATATTTAATGGAAAGTCTGTCCATCCTTCTGTTACCTTTTGAAAAAATAACTAATATTTTAAATTTCTGGCTTATCTTTCCTGAAATAGTCCGTATATTCAGCAAATGTTTGCATGTGCATTTCTTTTTCTATTTTCCCATTGACACAAGTGCACCCTGCTTCACCGTCTTGGAAGTTTGTCCTGTATCTCTGTATTGTAACTTACCTAGACAGTCACCAATCTTTAGCTGCTACAAATACCCCCGCAGTGAATGACCTAGAAAAGTCCTAAGGGTGAAATTAAGGCTTTAAAACAGGCTATATGTGTATTGATAAGCCTGATTGATACTGCCCCTTTCAGATGTTGTAGGCAAATTCATTGTCCTAACTGAAATTTATAAGGATGCCTGTTTCCCAACACTTTTGCCAGCATTGTGGTTTTATACTTTTAAAAAATCTCTGCAATTAGAAAATGGCATCTCAATGTAGTTTTAACATTGTGTGTGGTATAAGCATCTTTTCATGTTTGAATGTTTTTATTCTTTTTATGAACTGTCTTTCCATATTCTTTGATTTTTCTACCAAGCTGTTGAGGTGTTGTGTTTGTTTTTTTTTTTTTAACTGATTTTTATGAGCTCTTCTGTATTGGGAAAACTAACTCATGGTCTAAGATTATGCATTGATAAAGCGAAGAGTTATTTCAATTTAAAGTAAAAATTCCTAATGCTGCTTTTCACATAGTATTTGATATCAGAACTCTGTGGAATCCTAATTCCATATAAGGAAAGTTATTAAGTATATTCCTTTGATTGTAAGATACCAATAATTTTATAGTTCACGATAGATTCCATGTCAGCTATTCAAGGAAAGAAGAAAATACTACATTCAAGATACATATTTTTTTTTTTAGCCACTTGACAGTCTGTTGCCCAGGCTAGAGTACAGTGGCGCTATCTTAGCTCACTGCAACCTCTGCCTCCTGGGTTCAAGCAATTCTCCTGCCTCAGCCTCCTGAGTACCTGGGACTACAGGCATGCACTACCAGGCTTGGCTGATTTTTGTATTTTTAGTAGAGACCGGGTTTCACCATGTTGGTCAGGCTGGTCTCGAACTCCTGACCTCAAGGGATCCACCCGCCTCGGTCTCCCAAAGTGAGCCATCACGCCTGGCCTCCAGTTTCTTAATCAAGTTTTTTTGTTGTTGTTGTTACTAAGAGTATTATGTACTTAACAACTATTAGCATTTTCTTGTAGCATCATGGAAAATATTTTCCAAAACCTGAATCATTGTCTTGATCTCTTTAACACCTGATAGTACCATGTTGGAGAGTGTCAAAGGAATATGAGGACTTCATTGCTATTTTACTTATTTGAGTATTTGGCTTAGTTTGCACATTGGATACATGATGATAAGCATGAGACAACTTATCCCTCTACCTGACTTATGATAAGTTTCTCCTAGCATCAGTTAATAGGAGAGCATATCAACTTTAGAAATTTTGTCATGCATAATACAAAGGAACATTTTAGAATTCAAGAAAATGTAGATTAAGCAGAACTAGTATGTATGGGGTCTTGCTTATAAATTATAGATGTCAGTGCTTTCTAAATCAAAGATCATCCAAAGCATAAAGAAGAAATAGTGTCAAGTTTAAAAAAAAATCCAGGGAGAGAGTAGTGTTACACATATTGTTCCACATACCTCAATGTTTTTTTGGTTCAAAATTTGGGAGAGGAAGATGACAGTAACTCATATAGATTCCTTCCAAATAACAAAGACCCGGGTTACAAATCCTGTTTTCTCACTTTTAGCTTTTAATTCATGGGTTAGCTGGGTATTTTGTAACAGATTTTTAGAAAGGAAAATTAGAATTTAATGTTTGTGTCACGGCTTATTTAATTAGCACATCTGTTTTATCTGCCGACCTTCCAAAAGAACCATACACATAGTAACTTAGCCAAAAACACACTCACTGGAATCATTGGTTTTTAACATGTTGTATATAGGTTGTAAAATCTATAAAATGCTATTGGGTAGTAAAACCTATAAAAGACTTTGGAGAAAAATATTAGTGCCTGGCTATCGTATTGTATCATGTCAGAACAATTTAACACATCATTTGGTGTGTGAGAAAAATTAGAAAATTAGAAAAATGTGTAACAGAATTAGAAACATGCATGTAACTTTACTTATAATGAAATCTTTTGTACATAAAGTAAATGAAAATTTCAGGGAAGTGGATAGATCACCTTTAACTTTTACAATTTGTATTTTAGATGGACCAGTCTTACAAACCAGATGAAAATGAAGTTCGAACTCTCTTCGGTCTTCATTTAAGCCAGAAGAGAAATAATGGTGTCGTCGACAAGTCATTATTTAGCAATGTTGTTACCAAGAATAAAGATGTAAGTTGGGAAGTATCTGAACTGACTGCTAGTAACTTCAGTTGGTCTATTTTCAATACTTATGAGCTTTACATTTATTAAGATCTGGATTTAGAACTGCTTTATATGCACACAGCTGTCTCATCTTTGAGTCATCAAATAAGCTTTGGAGTTTAAGAAATGAATCAAAGGCCATGTTAGATGCTTCTGTGCATATGTACATAGAGAGCTATGTAGCTTCAATCGTACATAAATGGGATCATGTGTTCCATAATCTGTCTCCTGTAACTTGCCTTTTTTCCATGTACTAGATTAGGCTACAAATGTGTTTTTGTATCAATAAATACAGATGCTGGGTACAGTAGCTGACATCTGTAATCCCAACACTTTGGTAGGCCAAGGGGCAGATCTCTTGAGCTCAGGAGTTCAAGACCAGCCTAGCCAATGTGGTGAAACCCTGTCTCTAGAAAAAGTACAAAAATTAGCCTGGCGTGGTATCTGCACCCATAGGCCCAGCTACTCGAGAGGCTGAGGTGGGAGGATTGAATGAGCGTGGGAGATTGAGGCTGCAGTGAGCCGTGTTTGTGCCACTGCACTCCAGTCTGGGTGACAGAACAATACCCTGTCTCAAAAATAAATGCGTAAGTATTCATATCTTTATCTGAAAGTCCATATGGCAATCAGTCCATGTGTAGATGTACTATGATGGATGTTTTTCTTATTTTTACTTTTATTATTTTTGTTTTAAGAGACTGGGTCTCGCTCTGTTGCCCAGGCTGGAGTGCAGTGGTGCGATCATAGCTCACTGCAACGTGGATCTTATGATGGATAATTAGATTGCTTACATTTTCAGTGCTATGATCAATGTTTTTATATAGACAAGTTTTTGGACTTGTGCTCTTTGTTATCTTGTAGTAGGTACATGTTCCTAGGATAATAATGGTGATTTTTGTGGTTTGGATATATTATCTCATTTAACACTTAGATCACTCTTTAGGGCTGACTACCATTGTGTCTGTTATGAAGATCACAAAATTGTACCATAGAGGACAGTTAAGAAATTTGCCCAGAGTTGTACAATAAAGAATGGACAAGCTGACATTTATTTTCTGGAGTATCTTAACTGGGCCTTAAGTTCAAAGGATGTTTTTCCTAGGTCTAAAGTAGGCTGTGCTTGTTTTTCAGTACTTTGAAGGAATCATTCCATTGCTCTCTGGTCTGTCTGGCTGATAGCCTGGAATTTTTTTATTGAGTGCTAGGCACTGGGTATGAAAAAACTGTAGCGATATTTGGAGGGCTGGATGGTGTTATTTTTTTCTCCGGTGTTGACTTGTGCTTCGGTTGGGCAGATAAGGTGTAGGAGATATCTTCATTCTGTGAGGAATTGTTGAGCTGATAGGAGTTTAGCCTTCAGTCTTTGTGAGGACTGGTCTGTTTATGGTTCACTCCTGCTCTCTAAATATCTACTGCTGTACGCTGAACTCGGCTTTTGTCCCTTAGTCCTCTAAGACTGCCAAAAGTTGTGCTCAGCCAATTTACCTTTCAGTTTATTGCATGCCACTTGGAAAATACCTTGAGGAGAAAAGCAGACTGTCAGGCCCATTTCTTCCTGCTTCCATTTTCTCTGTGATCTTTGCCTGTTAGTACTTGCTGTCTATCCTCTCTGCCCAGCTTTTTTGTTTGTTACTAAAAGAGGATTGGTCTCTTAGCAAGCTATTTGCTGTAACAGAAGAAGATGGGGGGCTTGCTCCCAGGTCTGACTCCTGAGGCCTTTTCAGTAGAATTGCTGGAAATGAACCTTAAAATCTTTATCCAGAGAGTTCTGTCTGTTGATAAGCATACGATGATTAACACATCTTTTTTTGTTTGTTGATTTAATGTCTATTCTTTTATTTCTGCCTTTGACAATTAATGGTGTCCTGACGTAAAGAAACATGTAGGCATACATAGAAATATCTTTCAGCCCTTTGGAATCCACTCTGGTTGGTTCATGTACTTTGAAAAATACCGAATGGATATTGACCTAGATTCCATGGTACCATGTTGAGAATTGTGCCTACCTATTGAGAGTCTTTTTTCCTAAGGTTTGTAGATATTGGATTCATTAATAATTTAGCGATCTTGATAGGTTTTGTGCCTCTGGATATTTTTTTACAAGGGTGGCGGGTGTGATCTTAATCGTTTATCTAAACTCTCTCCTTGCTTCATGTGAATTCTTAGTAGAAATTTGGAAACTTAAGGATGAGAGAATGATAGCTTTATTCTCCTTTCTATTTTACCCCTGTCTTTTTAAGTGGATTTTTGTTAACATTCCAGCCTCAGAATTATTAGTCTGGAACCATTTCAGTCCTGAGAGAACCAGACAGGTGGACAGAATGTTTATTAATACTGAACATGTTTGAATTGTTTCCTCTTCTCCCATTTTTCTTGAATAGTGCTTTAATTGTTTTAACTATTTGTAGCATGTTTCTAAGACTGGATTCCCTTACTCCCAGTCCACTGGCATTTCTCGTATTCCTTGATCCCAACCCAGGATGTCAAGTATATTAGTTTTTATCACGCTGCTGTGAAGAAATTCCTGAGACTGGGTAATTTATAAAGAAAAGAGGTTTAATTGACTCACAGTTCCACACGGTTGGGGAGGCCTCAGGAATTGTACAATCATGGCAGAAGGCACCTCTTCACAGGGCGGCAGGAGAGGGAATGAGTGGAAGCAAGAGAAATGCCATACGCTTACTGTCAGATCTCATGAGACTCACTCATCATCACGAGAACTGCACGGGGGAAACTGCCTCCATGATCCAGTTACCTCCACCTAGTCCCACCTGTGGACACGTGGGGATATTATAATTCAGGGTGACATTCCAAGATTATCTTTGGAGGTCTAGACATCTATGAAGCTGGCTTTTGCTAATAAGTTTTCTGGGAACCAAAGGAGTCAGATTTATAGTTAGTGGCTCAAATAGCAGATAAAGATAAAAGATATGTAACAATAATAATACCTTAGAGTAAATTCTTAAGAAATCCTAATAGCTTTTTTAAATTCAACTTTTAATTTTGAGGTGAAAGTTGTAGGTTCACATGCAGTTGTAAGAGTTCCCATGTAACCGTTACCCTATTTCTCCTAATGCTAGCATTTGTCACACTACAGTACAATTCCACAACCATGCCATTGACATTGATAACAGTTGAAGATACAGGACACTTTCTGGCCGGGTGCGGTGGCTCACGTCTGTAATCCCAGCACTTTGGGAGGCCGAGACGGGTGGATCACGAGGTCAGGAGATGGAGACCATCCTGGCTAACATGGATGGGGAAACCCCGTCCCTACTAAAAATACAAAAAATTAGCCGGCCTGGTGGTGGGCACCTATAGTCCCAGCTACTTGGAAGGCTGAGGCGGAAGAATGGTGTGAGCCCAGGAGGCGGAGCTTGCAGTGAGCCCAGATCACACCACTGTACTCCAACCTGGGCGATAGAGTGAGACTCCGTCTCAAAACATAAAAAAAAATTAAAAAACATAAAGATACAGGACATTTCCAACACTGCAGTGATCCCTCATGTTCTTCTGTAGCCAGGCTCAATTGATACTGCTTCCACCCCCTCCTTACCCTTGGGCAACCACAAATCTGTTTTTCCTTTTTATAATTTTCATTCATCGTGCATTCATACACAGTTTTTTTTGTTTGTGAACATAAGCTTTTGTTTTTGTTTTTGTTTTTTGGGGAAACAGGTTCTAACTCTGTTGCCCAGGCTGGAGTGCAATGGCATGATCTTGGCTCACTGCAATCTCCGCCTCCCTGGTTCAAGCGATTCTCCTGCCTCAGCCTCCCAAGTAGCTGGGATTACAGGCATGCACCACCACACCTGGCTAATCTTTGTATTTTCAGTAAAGACGGGGTTTCACCATGTTGTTCAGGCTGGTCTTGACCTCCTAACTCAGGTGATCCACCTGCCTTGGCCTCCCAAAGTGTTGGGATTACAGGCGTGAGCCACTGTGCCCAGCCTAAACATAAGTTTTTATTTCTCTTTGATAAATGCCCAGGGTTGTTAATTGCTTTGTGGTATGGTAGTTGCATGTTTACTAAGAAACTGCTGAATTGTTTGCTAGAGTGGCTTGTACCATTTTGTATTCCCCCCAGCAGTAGATGAGTGATCCAGTGTCTCTGCATCCTTACTAGCTTTTGGTATTGCCACCTTTTGTTTTGTTTTGTTTTTTAAAGACATTCTGATACGTGTGTATCAATATCTCACTGATTTTGATTTGTGTAATGGCTCATGATGTTGAACATTTTTTTGTGTACTTATTTGCTACCTGTGTATCCTTTTTGGTGAAATGTCTCTATGTCTTTTGCTCATTTTCTAATTAAATTTTTGACTTAACTGAGTTGTTTTGTTTTGTTTTGAGATGAAGTCTCGCTCAGTCACCTAGACTGGAGTACAGTGGCACGATCTTGTTTCACTGCAGCCTCCACCTCCCAGGTTCAAGTGATTCTCCTACCTCAGCCTCCTGAGTAGCTGGGATTACAGGAATGCATCACCACACCTGGCTAATTTTTATATTTTTAGTAGAGACGGGATTTCACCATGTTGGCCAGGCTGGCCTGGAACTCCTGACCTCAGGTGGTCCACCTGCCTTGGCCTCCCGAAGTGCTAGGATTACAGGCGTGAGCCACTGCGCCTGGCCTGTTACTGAGCTTTTAAAGTGTTTTTGTGTTTTAGGGGCTAGTTTGTTGTTGGATATGAGGTTTGTTAATAATTTTCTCCTAGTCTGTAGCTTGTCTTTTCATCCGCTTTAACGAGGAATCTTTTACAGAGTAAAAGTTCTTAATTTTACTGAAGTCAAATTTATCAACTTATCCATTGGCTGCAGCAAATATTCTCTGTCCCCTTAGCATACAGAGGTGGACTGTCATCCTTCTTTTCCATTTGTATTCATGCTTTATACTAAAGATAGTGATATTTTTGGGTGTTACTCTTGTTGTTCTGTTTGATCCGGTAACTCCTAATGGTTTTTGAACAGTTTCTACTTAAGTTATTCTAAACAAAAGAGAAAATGATCCTAATTTGATTTTTCCAAACAGTCTTGGCTGTCCATGTGCATCATAATGATTTGTGATATCTATGAAATAATTCTCTGCATTGGTTCTGAACATAAATTTTACCATGTCTCCAGATCGTTAAAAGTACTGTGGTCAAGAAAATATTGTTTGTCAGTTTTGGAATGGGTATGGTAGTTCTTACCTCGTGTGATATAAAAAGATTTAATCCACAATTGCTGCAAAATAACATTAGTTTGTTTCTATGGATGCATTGTGCTAAGTTCCCCCACAAATGTGTTAAATATTTAAGTAAATCGTGGTAGTGTGTAGCAGGAACAGTTAATTTCCCTCTGTCATTTGAGAGGTATAATTATGTCGTAGGTCTTTTACATTAAATAGAACTAAGAAGCTTAAAGTTGGCCGGGCGTGCTGGCTCACACCTGTTGTAATCCTGGCTCTCTGGGAGGCTGAGGCAAGTAGATGACTTGAGCTCAGGAGTTCGAGACCAGCCTGGCCAACATGGTGAAACCCCATCTCTACTGAAAATACAAAAATTAGCCAGGCATGGTAGTGTGCATCTGTAATTGAAGCGTGAGAATCTCCTGAACCCGGGAGGTGGAGGTTGCAGTGAGCCAAGATAGTGCCGTTGGAGATGTCCCATTGTGTCTGGGAGACAGAGTGAGATTCTGATTCCAAAAAAACACAAAAAATAACATTTAAAAAAAGAAGCTTAAAATTAAATGAGTTTAAAAGGCCCCATGCGATTTACCATTGTGTATGTGTTTCAGTTGCCAGAGTCAGCCGTCCGAGACCTCATCGTAGCCACCATTGCTGTCAAGTACACTCAGTCTAACTCCGTGTGCTACGCCAAGAATGGGCAGGTAAATGGGCTGTTGGACTTGCCTTCAGGGGACTGTTGTTTTACGAAATTATATTTAAGCATCCGTCTGCCTTAGATATTGAACAGCCTAAAAGGGAATACTTGCCAAGTGTTTCTCTTTTGGGTTTGTTAGTGTTTTCCTCAGTACCCTGGTGGGCTGTTAAAACTAATGATGATCAGAAAATATCTTTGGCACCAGGTACTTGGAACCAGGTACTCAAATTAGTTGTGCCGCTTCTTGCCTGGAGTAGCTTGGCACATTTTGGATTAGTGAGACTCTAATAGCTGTTACAAAACTGGATTATTTACTCTTCTTTTCCCCCATTGGTAGTATTTCCAGGGAAGAGGAGGTAAGTTATGGTACTGCCACCTGCCAGCCTATATTTTTGCAGCCTGCAGGGTATTTTCACATTATTTTTTACATTGTCTTATCAAGAATCTGCTGAGTAGAAAGACTTCTAGACTAGGAGTTAACCTGTTCTTTAAGAAATCATGTTTATTGAGGCATAATTTGTATACAGTAGAATTCACCTTTTTAAATGTACAGTTTGACCAGTTTTCACAAATTTCACAGGATGTGACCGCTGCTGCAATAAAATACTGAACATTTCTCACTGTGTAATGTTAAGCAAGATATTGAACTTCTTTCCTAGTGTCCCAAGCCTCAAAATACAAGATCGAACTGATTCATCTCTGAGGTCTCTGCTAGCCTTTTCTTCACATGGTGTCCTGAGCTTATCTCTTTGGCATTTGTTAAATTATTTGGCCCACACGTGATGGGGAGGCAGATGGATATGAATTAGCCTATGGCCTGGAAGACCCAAGATTGCCAATCTCTGTAGTAACAAACTCCTGGGACATTGTGTCTACTGACGTCAGGTTCTAGGAAGTTCTGTAAGTCCATGTAGAGTGAGTCCTTTCCTGATGTCCAGGTGGAGGCGGCTGCACAGGTGTTTGTGGTCTCTTTTGTTCTCTTGTAGCTGTGGGCAGGGTTGCCAGCAGCTGTGCTCAGAAAGAGATGAACTGTTGGGCAGACAGCTGAGGGGCTGTTCATTGTAGGAACTAAAACCAGAAAACACACCTGTGCATTTAAGTCCTTGGTGCTTAGAATTCAACCCATAGAAATAGAGGAAGGAAGGAAGAACATTTGTACCTGGTGGAATTGTTTCTACTTTTAGCTACCTGCGTCAGATCCTTATCTCAATTTCTGAGAGTTGATATTTTAACTGTAATTTATACACTGGGGCAAAGACTTTCACATAACCATAGTTATTTTTGTGGTCATTGGTTTTATTAATTAGTTAATTATAGAGATAAGGTCTTGCTCCGTTGCCCAGGCCAAAGTACAGTGACATGATCATAGCTCACTGTAGCCTTGGACTCCTGGGCTCAAGCGATCCTCCCACTTCAGCCTCCTGAGTAGCTGGGACTACAGGTGTGCGCCACCACCCCCAGCTATTTTTTTATTTTTATTTTTTATAGAGATGAGATGTTGCCATCTTGCCCAGGCTGGTCTCCTGGGCTCAAGCGATCCTTCTGTCCTGGCCTCCCAAAGTGCTGGGATTACGGGCATGCGCCAGTGTGCCCAGCATTGGTCATTAATTTTAACTCTTTTTTTTTTTTTTTTTGGCCTCAAGCCATCAATTTTATTGAATTGTAGAATATTAATAGTCATGTCACATATCCAGAGCTATAAATAGTAGTTATAAACCTCTTATTACCCCCCCTTTTAATGACTTAAAAATTATTTATATTTCTCTTGGCCTGATATGTTCCTCCACAAAACTAATAAATAGGTTTTAGAGAATGTGCACAAAAGATCCTTTTGAGAAGAAAGTGTTGTTGGAAGAGGTGTTCACTTTAATGTCTGTGTTCCTCAGGTTATCGGCATTGGAGCAGGACAGCAGTCTCGTATACACTGCACTCGACTTGCAGGAGATAAGGCAAACTATTGGTGGCTTAGACACCATCCACAAGTGCTTTTGATGAAGTTTAAAACAGGAGTGAAGAGAGCAGAAATCTCCAATGCCATCGATCAATATGTGACTGGAACCATTGGCGAGGTGAAAGACTTGTCATTGGGTTCTGGGCTGTATTAATATTCAGTTCACCCCTTTATGTGTAACAGATTTTAGCTTCATCACTACACAGAGAAAAAGATACTTTCCTTGAAATTCTATGTTGTCTAAAATTGAGCATTGAAACTTCTTACACATTTCTCATTTTCTTCTGTCTCATGTAACTTTCTTCATTGTTTTTGACCCCTTTCTGAAGCCACAGACCTCTGTCTTTTTAAGTTGCAGCCTTGGTGTAGGTTTGTATATTGTACTTCCCTTGTTGTTTATAAGCTTTTGATGACAAGGACTGCTTTTCACCTATGTCGAGGTGTCTGCCATCGTGTCAGGCATGGTACTTGCTGTCTGACGGGTCTATATTCAACATTAAATACAAATTGCTTGACGGCAGGTAACTGTAGAGTCTTCTCCCACCACATTTTCTACATGCGCCATTAATAACGTGATATATTTTGTTACATTTCACGTTCTTCTGTTTGAAGAAGGTATGTGGGAACATGACAATCACAAACGTTAGGTAGGTAGCCTGCCAGAAGAAAAGATCTAGCCCAGTTTCTGGACATATTGCGTGCCTAACAAAATGCTAGATGGAAAACAGAAGCCTGCTAATCAAATAGTAGATGGTCTTCTGAAGAGCCAATTGTGACTACCCTCAGTTTTTTATTCAGGAGCAGGAATCAACATAAGTGTCATTGAAGAATGAGGCTGCAGAATATAACTGAAGTACTTAAAATATCTTTTTTTTTTTTAACTTTGATACTTGGATTTTTCTGTTTGATATTATCAGTCAACCCCTGCTACTAGTCCTGGAAGAGTCCTGGAAGTGAACAAGAGTAAAAGTACATCAAAGCTAAAACATCACCCAAGATAGAAGCACCTTGTAAAATATGATTAACTGTCTTAGTCTGTTTGTGCTGCTATGACACAATACTGCAGGCTGGGTAACTTATAAACCATAGATATTTATTTTTCATAGTTCTGGAGGCTGTGAAGTCCCAGATCAAGGTACTGGTGGGCTGAGAGTCTGGGGAGGCCTACCCTCTGCTTCCAAGATGGCACAGCCCTCTCTGGAGAGGACAGACACCGTGTCCTTACTTCACAGAAGGGGCAAACTTCCTCTGAAGCCCTTTTATAAGTCCATAATCCATTCATGAGGGCCGCACTCTCATCGCCTAATAACCTTCTAAAGGCCTTACTTTTTAATACTGTTGCATTGAGGATTAAGTTTCAACATGAATTTTGGAGGAGATACACACACTCAAACCATAGCAAATATGAATTGTGTTTTGTCTACAACTGATTTTAGATTTAAAATAATTTTTGTATAAACATAGTTATAGAACATTCATCCTCATCTCTTTCCTAGATTGGATATGGAGGGGTTTTATTTGAAAACTGAAAGCCCTTGGAATACAATTTTTTATTTGCCTTCTTTGCTACAGTACTATCAAAGCAGTAGATCTAAATTAGACAGTAGTCTAATTAATAGACATAAAGCAGTAGATACGAAGTAAATTTAAATTAGAGATTTTTAAAACAGTGTATTTTTATGTAAGTAGCTTAGCCAAAAATAGAAAAATTATATATATACTTGGGATAAACTGATTTAGAAAGTAAAATGGTATTATCTTTATTTGATAAACTTAGAATCACTTTTTTTCCTTAATGAAAATGTTTCTAAAAGCATCAGAGAGATTCTAGATATGTGAACTTCCATGTAAATAATGGTCGTTATTTACAGTTAAGAAGTTCTGGCCAGGCGCGGTGTGGCTCATGCCTGTAATCCCAGCACTTTGGGAGGCCGAGGTGGGCGGGTCACAAGGTCAAGAGTTTGAGACCCTCCTGGCCAACGTGGTGAAACTCTGTCTACAAAAATACAGAAATTAGCTGGGTGTGGTGGTATGCTCTTGTAGTGCCAGGTATTTGGGAGGCTGAGGCAGGAGAATTGCTTGAACCTGGGAGGTAGAGGTTGCAGGTAGCCGAGATCGTGCCATTGCACTCCAGCCTGGTGACAGTGCAAGACTCCTTCTAAAATAAATAAATAAATAATCATAATAATAAAAAGAAGTCCTAGGAAAAATGCCCAGGTGCTTTCTGGCATTGGTGCTTTGCACCAGATGGGACTAAAGACAATGTCAGAGTAAGCTTCTTCCTTTCTCTCTCCCCACATAGGATGAAGATTTGATCAAGTGGAAGGCATTGTTTGAGGAAGTCCCTGAGTTACTCACTGAGGCAGAGAAGAAGGAATGGGTTGAGAAACTGACTGAAGTTTCTATCAGCTCTGATGCCTTCTTCCCTTTCAGAGATAATGTAGACAGAGCTAAAAGGGTAAGTATGGAATTGGGTGCGTTTGCCTAGAGTTGAGCATTATGTAGAAACTTTCAGAAATCCTGCTTTTGATTTTTTAAAGGTGTGGTAAAGTGATACAGATCGGTAATATTCAGAGAACCATTTGGCTTATCCATTGGGTGGATGGAGAGCCCAAATCTATTGTTATTCTGCCTGTTTGAGTGGATCTTTGTTAGCATATGCTTTTTAGAGGGGGATTTTGAGTTTTGCAGGTTTTTGCATAAAGTTGCGTTTTGAAAATCAATTCCCCCAGAGTGGTGTGGCGTACATTGCGGCTCCTGCCGGTTCTGCTGCTGACAAAGTTGTGATTGAAGCCTGCGACGAACTGGGTATCATCCTCGCTCATACGAACCTTCGGCTCTTCCACCACTGATTTTACCACACGCTGCTTTTTGGCTTGCTTATGTGTAGGTGAACAGTCACGCCTGAAACTTTATGAGAATAACTTTTTAAAAAAATAAAACAGCACCTCTTAATCACTGGATCCATAGTTTTTGGTAGTTGTGTTTTATGTTAAAGATACAGGCTCTTTCAACTGACACATGACACGTAAATGAGGAATTCCAGAGCACCCCCGCCTGCCGGAGCTCAGCCCGTCCCACAGCGCTGCCTGTGTGAAACATAAACATTCACGGGAACCAGATGAACTGAGCAGCCAGAGGACATGGCACAAGTGTCTTAAAGCTCCATGTTTCCTCCTAGGGGAGTCTTCTCATGCTGTTTTTTTTTTTTTTAATGTATTTTTTTGAGATGGAGTCTCGCTCTGTTGCCCAGGCTAGTCAGTGGTGTGATCTCAGCTCACTGTAACCTCCGCCTCCCAGGTTCAAGTGATTCTTCTGCCTTAGCCTCCCAAGTAGCTAGGATTACAGGCATGCACCGCCATGCCTGGCTAATTTTTGTATTTTTAGTAGAGACAGGGTTTCACCATGTTGGTTAGGCTGGTCTCGAACTCCTGACCTCGTGATCCACCTGCCTCGGCCTCCCAAAGTGCTGGGATTACAGGCGTGAGCCACTGTGCCCGGCCCTCATGCCATTTATTTTTAATCACACTTCTGAGAAGCTTGGTTGTCTACTTTTCAAACACAGCAGATTGGCACCTGTGAACTGGAACCTTAGAGGGGATTAGTAGGTCTTGCTGACACCCTGTATGGATAATCTAATGCATCTTTTTCTTGGTGCTAAGTGAAATGTTTCCCAGAATTTCAGCAGCCGTAGATTCACTCTCTGGAGCTACATAAAAATGTCGTCAATGTTCAGTGCTCAGAAATTGTACCCAATATTCCAGTTACAGGCTTATCACTGCAGTGGGCACAGTGGGAGGGCAGTGCCTTCCTTCGTCAGGACAGCCCTGTGCATCTGTGTGTCCTGCCTGTGTGCTTCTGACCATTCCCGTGCATTGCACCTGTGTTCAACTAAAACCCTTTGCCATTGTTCACCTTGACTGATGAGTCCTACCCTCTTCCCAAGTCGTTAACCTACCCCCCACCTTGCTAAATAAAAATGTCTGAATTTTTTTTCTTAATGGTCATGTTTCTAATTTATTTCTGCATCAGCTAGTCTTCCAGCCCCTGCATAGTACCTGCCCACATTGAAACAAGGCTGACTTGTGTGATCAGTAAAACACTGCAGAAAAAATATGACTTTTGAGGCTAGGTCCTAATGCATTGCAACTTCAACCTTGCTTTTTTGGATTACTTCCTCTGGGATAAGCCAAGGCCACGTTGTAAGATTTAAGCAGCCCTCCACAAGGAGAGAAGCCATCTTGCTTACACTTGCTGCCAGCCATATGAGTGAGCCACCTCAGAGGTGGATCCTCCAGCTCCAGTCCCAGGCAACATCTGGCTTCAACCTCTTCAGAGACCTGAGCCAGAACTGCCCAAAAGAGCTCTTGAATTCCTGACCCAGAGATACAGAGAGATGCATGCTGTCGTAAGCCACAAAGTTCTGGGATAATTATGTAGCAGTGAATAACTAATACAGATTTTGGCTTATAAATTAAGTGTGCATTGTCTTTTTGATGGTTCTTTGGCTTGACCAAAGGTTAACATTAAGGGTATGATAATGGGAACAGGCTGGGCACTGTGTCTGCCGTCTATAATCCTAGCACTTTGAGAGGATCGCTTGAGGCCAGGAATTCAAGACCAGCCTGGGCAACATAGCAACATCCTCATCTCTAAAAAAGAAAATTTTAATTAGCTGGACGTGGTGGCTCGTGTTTGTAGTATTCTTCACATAAATGAAGAATAAATAAATGGAGAAAATACAACTCCCATGCAGAAGAATTCTAAGTAATTTACATCAACACTCCACCTTTAAGATGGGCATAACTCCCAGTCCTTAAGTGTGGCCTGTACACAGTGACTTGCTTGCAAAGAGGAGAGTATAGAAATGGGAATAAAATAGTAACTACAGTGGAGAAAACTGACACTTTCTCAGCCAGATGATCAAGGTCAACATTGATAATGTCATGTTGCTAGGAAATACCTCAAAATGGGAGAATGGCACTTTACCTTTTTGGTCTTCTTTCCAAGACCCTGTACTCTCAGCTTAATCATGAGAAAAACATCAGATATAACCTAGCTGAAGGACTTTACAAAATACCTTCCTACTGTCAAGATCATCAAAAAGAAGAGAAGCATGAGAAATTGTCATGCTTAGAAGGGCCTAAGGAGACGTGATGACTAAATACAGTGTGGTGTCCTGCATAGCATCCTGGAACAGCAAAAGGACATTAGGTAAAAACTAAGAAAACCTAAAGTGGTTAGTTAATATGTATCAATATTGGTTCACTCATTGTAATAAATGTACTATGCTAATGTGAAATACTAATAATAGGGGAAATTAGGTGTGATATATCCTCACAATTTTTTCTGTAAACATAAAACTTAGAAAATAGGCTGGGCGTGGTGGCTCACGCCTGTAATCCCAGCACTTTGGGACGCCAAGGTGGGCGGATCACCTGAGGTCAGGAGTTCAAGACCAGCCTGGCCAACATAGTGAAACCCCGTCTCTACTAAGGATACAAAAATTGGCCAGGTGCGGTGGCTCACGCCTGTGGTCCCAGCACTTTGGGAGGCCGAGGTGGGCGGATCACGAGGTCAGGAGATCGAGACCATCCTGGCTAACATGGTGACACCCTCTCTCTACTAAAAAATACAAAAAAATTAGCCAGGCGTGGTGGCGGGGAGGCTGAGGCAGGAGAATGGCGTGAACCCGGGAGGCGGAGCTTGCAGTAGTGAGCTGAGATGGCGCAACTGCACTCCAGCCTGGATGACAGAGCGAGACTTCGTCTCAAAGAAAAAGAAAAAAAGAAATACAAAAATTAGCCAGGTGTGGTGGCACGCGCGCGCCTGTAGTCCCAGCTACTTGCGAGGCTGAGGCAGGAGCATTGTGAACCCAGGAGGCGGAGCTTGCAGTGAGATGAGATCGCTCCACTGCACTTCAGCCTGAGCGACAGAGCAAGACTCCGTCTCAAGAAAAATTAAAAAATAAATTAAACTCTTACAAAATAAAAAGCCTATTTTAAAAAGTATATAACCACATTCAAGTATCATACTAAAAGGATAAGTCGTTTTGAATATTAAATACCCAATCACCTTTAGATCTCACCCAATGGCTAATTTTTTTTTTTTTTTTCAGTTTTTTGATTGTGCTACCCAAGCCTGGTACATCCATTGCATTTGATTGGCATATCTCAAGTGTCTTCAACAACTGCTTTCTCCTTTTTAGATTTTTTTCTTGCAGTCGATTGACTGAAGATTTTTGATCCCATGGTTTCCCACATACTGTACTGTGCCATTGCATTCCTGTGATGTCCTTTAGTTTGTGCCTCTGTTCCTTTGTTACACATTGATAGCTGTAGTTAACGTAAATTTTTTTAGTTTGATTTATTGAGAATTTAGAAAAAGGTTTTGAAACTTCCCTCCATGAGGATGAGTTTTCCAATTTCTTCCTGCAGATTTATAAATGTTCACTTCATACATATTTGAGGCTAAAAACATGGACACATGTTTAAGGTTATTATTGATTTTGGTTCTGAGTTTTCTTTAATGCATTTTGTCAACCTTTCCCTTTGCACTCAGCCCATTTGTATTCAATTACTGATAATATTTGAGGTCTATTTTTACTATCCTATAAAGTTTGACCCCCTTTTAATTCCTTTCTTCTCCCCCATCACCCCTACCCCACCCCATTCCAAACTCCTGTTGATTCCTGGACTTGAGGTTACATTTTCACTTAGCCTTTTTTTTTAAGACCAGACTAAGGTTTCTATTTACCTTCACTTCGTGTATCTATTGCAGTGCCTACAGTTTCTCCTCTTGTGTTAACTGTGTGCAGTGTCTGTGTGGTGAAGCTTCTGAGACCTTATATGTCTAAGGTTTTTTTTTTTTTTTTTTTTTTTTTGAGACAGATTTTCACTCATGTGGCTCAGGGTGGAGTGCAATGGTGTGCTCTCGGCTCAGTGCAACCTCCACCTCCCAGGTTCAATCGATTCTCCTGCACCAGCCTCTCAAGAAGCTGGGACTATAGGTGCACGCCACCACACCCAGCTAATTTTTGTACTTTTAGTAGAGATGGGGTTTCACAATGTTAGCCAGGCTGGTCTCGAACTCCTGACCTCAGGTGATCTGCCTGCCTTGGCCTTCCAAAGTGCTGGGATTATAGGCATGAGCCACTGTACCCGGCCAACTAAGGATATTTTTATCATGCTTGTATATTTGAATTCATTTTGGCTATGCTTACAATTCTCGGTTTTAAATTCTGTAATACTTTAAAAACACTGTTCGTTTTTTTCTTGTATTCATTGTTGTATTTAAAATCTGATGTCAATCTGGTTCTTGTTCCTTCTCAGGAAACTTTTTTTTTGAGACAGAGTCGTTCGCTGTTGACCATGGCAGGCTGGAGTGCAGTGGTGTGATCTCCGCTCACCACAGCCTCTGCCTCCGTGGTTGAAGCAATTTTCATGCCTCAGCCTCTCGAATAGCTGGGACCACGGGTGTGCACCACCACACCGGCCAATTTTTGTGTTTTTAGTGGAGATGGGGGTTTCACCATGTTGCCCATACCGGTCTTGAACTCCTGACTTCAGGTGATTTACCCGCCTCAGCCTCCCAAAGTGCTGGGATTACAGGTGTGAGCCACCATGCTTTCTCAGGAAATTTTAATTTTTTCCTGGGTATTTTCAAGCTTCTATAATGTGTCTAGGTGTGGGTGTTACGCGTATTTCCCTTTGTTGGCACTCTGGGTTTTTCATTCTAGGAAACTTATTCCTGTTATTTGTGCTAATATTTCCTCTCCCATTTCTTCTCTCTGTGGTGTTTTATCCAAATGTTAGTATTTCTAAGCAATTCTATATCTCTTAGCCTTTCTTTTATACTTTATATTTCATTTTCTTTTATTCGTCCCTCCAGATTTCTTTAGTCTGGTCTTCTAATTTACTCATGAATTCTTACAGTGTATCCATTCTGCTGTGTGTCCTGTCTATTG